ATCACAGGGCAGGTGATGAAGTAGTCTCTGGTGAGAGGAGGACAGAGGAGGGGGTCTATTAATGTTAGGTGCAACTCTATGGACAACTGTGCCAGGTAAATGCGTCTGCCATTCAAGGGTCCCTTGGCCACCAAACCCCTGCACAGGCCTGCCGAGAGCACGCACCGTCCTGACACTGCCCAGCTGGCCCCACTGCTGGCTGGCTGGAGGAGCCAGGGGCACGGCGCTTGGGCCAGGCTGGGTGATGGCCAGCCGTGATGGCACACGGCCTCTTTGGGCCAAGAGGCCATGGGACAAACGTCTCCCCAGAATATCAATTTCACTTGAAGATATGGAAGCAAAACATTTCATGGTAAAATAAATGCAACATACTATGGAGCAGAATACAAAAGAATTGTGTCTTTTGAAAGGCAGAGACCTCAAGGATACGTCATACGTGTGATACCTCAACCGGGACACCCCACTCGCTAGGGGACATTTGGGAATGTTTGAGGGTGCTCTGGGTTGTCACAGCTGGAGGTGGAAAGGTTTCTACTGGCATCTAATGGGTAGGAGCCAGGGATACTGCTAAACATCCTCTAATACCCAGGACAGCCTTCAGCCCCCAACAGAGAATGTTCCAGCCTAAAATGTCAACAGGGAAGAGGTGGAGAACCTTTCTTTCGATTCCCAGTTTCACATCCTCTGCCCCTGTGGGGTGATGCGGATACATTTCAGAAGCACCAGCTTATAACAGCGGGGTCCTGCTGTGGCAGCGCACGGCGGTGCGCTGACGGAGGGGCAGGCCTGGCTAGAGGCAGGCAGCACTCAGCTGGCCTTGGGCCCACCAGGCTGTAAACCAACTCAGTGCCCCCTGCATCTCCTCAGCTGAGAAACGGAGCCCATGGGCCTTGCGGAGACTTTATAACGACCGAGTCTGATAACACCCATGAAAGTCCATCAATGCAAAGGGCTGCCCAGCCCCCTTCCCTGGTGATTGAGACGAGCACTTTGAGCCAGCCTGTAGGGCAGCGTGAATGTTGTCAGGACAGGCCCTAAAGTAGGGTGCGGTAAGCAGTGAGGGTCTGGAAGGGCCGATAGAGGTAGGCGTGCTCCATGGTCCCCCTGAGGGGTGGGGAACAGGCCTGTGGAAGTCACACACTCTCACCGCCAAGGAGAATGGAGGCAGGGAGGCCTACGGAGGCCGCTGCCGGAGCCTGGCCGGGAGAGGAGGAGGCCCGGAGCGAAGGGAGGACTGGCCCGGCCTCCTCAATGAAGCCCTCCTTGGTTCCCTGTCCTCTCTCGGACCTCAGCTCATGCCCAGAGTACAGATTGTCCTCCAAACCAGTTAAAGGTAAAGATGGGGCAAGAACTGAGGTTTCTGAACTCTAGCCCTGAGCTCTTTCTACAATATAGATCTAAGCCAGTCCAAACTTGGTTATGAGTCTCTCAGGGTCCAGATGCTTGGGCATCTGTGAGTTCCCAGGGTCCGTCCAGGGCTGGGCAATAGGAACAGCTGTTGGGTGTTTGGTTTAAAGCTGATCTGTCTGCTAGAGGGAAAATTAAAGCCTTTCTGGCCCCCACGATCCCAGCGGGCAACACAAAGGTTTATTCTGAGCTAATGACCCTCCGCTTAGAAGCCACAGGCTCCTGGGTGGAGAGGCCAAGCTGAGCGGTGGGTCTCAGCACCCTTCTGCCTGCCCCTTCCCAACAGACTCAAGTTCAGCAGAGGCCTCTGGGTCTTGGCTCTGGCTCTGTCCCCAAGGACAAAGCGCAAAGGCAGGCGTGGACCTCCCTGAGGAGAGGCAAGGAGTTACAGGATGCTAAAACCGCCCGACCACATTCTTCAGGCTTGGAGGGGGCGCCCTGCCAGACAGACAGAATGTCAGGGAGCCTGTGCGGGGCTCAAAGGTGACAGAGACCTTTAGTTCCCACTGTGGTCTCGTCCCCAGGGCTCTCTGCAGGCAGAGAGAACTGGGACCCTGACTATTTCTTGATTCCATTCAAGCCTCATTTCTAGGCACTCATATAAAACACAGTTCTTGGCCCCAGTGAGCCCGCCATGGACCAGGAGGAAGGCTAGTCCCGCCAGTGCAGTAGGGGTGGGGACAGTGCTGAGAGAGAGGGCTGTTCTGGGGACCGATTGCAGAACCTGTGGGGGAGGGGGATTACCTGTTGACCACTCATGGGGTGGGACAGCCAGGGCTGACTTCCCCAAGAGTGGGAGGCTTGAGGCAATGAACTTGAGCAACAAGACACATAAGCTGTGAATGCAGAAACAGCACCCCTGGGCCAGGGCTGCCTGGCCGTCAGGGGCCCTGGCTCTACTCCTGTCTGGGGTGTGACATCAGGCACAAAACCCTGTCTAGGACTCAAGCCCCATGTGTAAGGTGGACTCTGGCTGCACAGTGGAGTCACCTGGGGAGCTTTGAAAAATACAGATGCTTATGGGGCTTGTGTGTACCCCACTCTTTGATTGCTCGCCACGTGGTTCTCCTGGACAGCCAGGGTGGGGCCCGCTGGGTCCTCTCCGCTGAGCCAGGCGCAGCAGGCTCTGCGTCAGCATTCGCTGAGCAGCTGCTCGTGGGCACAGAGCATCCAACAGGTGCCTCCGGCAAGCACTTTGTGCCCACCGAGGGCACAAGCACCGCTGAGGGAAGATTCGGGTCAGCCTCATTTCCCCCACCGTTGGGTAGTCACCCCAGGCTGTGGACTGACGGAACGATGCAGAGGAAAGTGTGCGCACCAGGCTCCCACGCCCTCAGTTCTCTTTCACGATCTGGGCGTCGCCTGGGCCCACACCAAAGTGGAGCAGCAGGAAGCCCCGATCTCACGCTCTTACCGGGTGGCGTTCTCCAAGGCCCGGGAGAAGGTGGCGTAGTCATCCGCCGAGTGCTCCAGGGAGTAATACCACGTGGCAGCAGCCTGCACTCCGGCATCCGGGTCTTCACCTCCCAGGGAATTCTGCAGCGCTTGGTAAAAGGCTGTTTTGCTACTGGTCCGGCCTTGACTTTCCTCAAATTGCTGGAGAGAGAGAGAGAGAGAGAGAGAGAGAAAGAGAGAGAGAGAGATGAAAATGTCCCCATCAGACCCTGAAAGGCTTGAGGCAGTATCCTTCAAACTCTTCTGGAATGTTCTCTCTATGAAGCAGTGGGACCTGGCACTAAGCTCGGGGGGCACTGGAGCCAGAATGCCTGGGTTGGAACCCCAGCTCTGCTCATTGTAGCTGTGTGATCTTAAACCAGTGGCTGTACCTCTCTGTGCCTAGTTATCCCCACGTGAAAATGGACAAAATGGGAGTGCCCTCCATGCAGGGCTGTGGTGAGAACCAAAAGGGTCAACACACATGAAGTACTGAAAACGGCGCCTGGCGCTGAGTCGCTGCTTGGTGGGCGGGAGCCCCCCCTGCAAGCTGATAACAGGCCGCACACCTGTGCCTGGCCCACTTCGCCTCCCTTAGCCAGTTTGTCATCTGGTTTCGTTAGGACAGCTAACTCCAGTTTCATCCACTGACTCAATCATTCAACATAGGGGTGCTTTCTGTACGCTTTCACAGCGATAACCACTCTTCATTTCAGCCAGGGCCCACAGGCCTGGGAAAACAGCTGTGCACGTGCTGATGGAGCTCCCTGCTCTCGTGTGCCTCGTGTTCTAGTGGGAGGAGATGGAAAATAAGCAAATAATTACACAGTTCATCAGGGGACAGGTGCTATGAAGAGAAACAAGGCAGGGTGACAGGGAGACAGCGGGCGTTATTTTATGTAGGATAGTCAGGGAAGGCATGGGGTTCTCTGGGATGTGTGTCCAGATGGAAATACATTTTCCCTCCCTTCTTTCCTTCCTTCCTCCCTTCCTTCCCTCCCTCCCTCCCTTCCTTGCCCTGGCACCCCTGCTGTCTGCACAGGGGCAGTCCAGTCAGGGAGGACAACTCCTTCCTCAGGATGCTGTGTCCTCATTTCTGAGGACAAGGGGCGGCAGGCTGTCAGAGACATAGATCCTGAGAGGCCCAGATCCCTCGGCCCTCGTCTGCTCCTGTGATGTGTGTTTACAGATTTCTAGGCTTTTATATCAACAGTGAAACATGCTTATCAGGGTGCCCTGGCATGTTTAGATCATTTCTCTAAACACTTCCAAGCATGCAGGACCTGTGATTACAAATCAGGGAGTGGGTGTGAGCAGTTAGCAGCACCTCCCAGCTGAGGCATTCTCTCCGCCGATGCTGCGTGGCTCCCGGAGAAGAAACTGGACCCGTGGGTGGGATAGTGGATCAAAGGCATGTCCAGAGGCTTCAGGGGAGATGAAGAAGGCAGAGCAGGAAGAGGTGTGCAAAGAGAGCTTCATTTTAATTCTAGCTAGAGCGTGTGTTCCTTGGGAAAAGATTTCAAGCAAATACGGCACAATACTGAAGTCTGTTAAACCCAAATAGTGAAAACCTGGATATTCATTATGTCAGAGACCTTCCAATGGTTTCGATCATGATCTATAGTAAGAAAGACATTTTATACATACACACACACACACACACACATATGCACACAGAGACACACGTACACACAGACACATACATGCACACACAGACACATGCATACACACATGCATGCACACACAGACACACATAAACACAGACACACACATGCACACACACATGCACATATGCACACACAGACACACACATGCACACACACAGGCACATGTACACACACAAACACACACATGCACACACACAGTGCACACACACACATGCACACACACAGACACGCAGGCCTGACATGACGCTCATGGAAAGTGCTCATACTTGCGTTCTTACCGTACATGACGCATCTGATCATTTCCACTCTATCCTATCCTGTCTGTTCCCAAATGCTTGGCTGCAATCTCTTCAGTAGGTTTCACAGCCTACTAAAACTGTAGGGGTGCAACTGCGGTATATTATCCTCTGTACTTTACTGAGTTTTTGGAATAGTTCAGAACAAAAATGATATTAGTAATCGTTTGCATATCTCCCATTATTGCCAGATATTTAACAGGAGTATTCCTCTGAAATATCAAAATCATTGCATAGAATTACTGCCAAATTCCAATGCAAAATGCATATGAAGGGTTTAGCACAGCTCTGGGAACATGGGCAACAGATGTGATGAATATTATTAACCAGGCTCCAGGCTAGGGCAGGGGCCCTGTGTGCCCTCCAGATGCTCTGCTGTCATTGCCAGAGGTACTGTGTGGCTGAGGGGACACGCAGTGCTCAGTATGGTGCCAGGCACCTAGCAGGTGCTCAGTAAATATGTGTTGGGCAAATGAATGAAGGAGTTGCTGACCTTTGTAGAGGTAATACACACTGGAGGCTACGAATAGAATTTCAAAGTCAAACCTCTTGGGTTGAAATCCCAGAGTTAGAAAGACCTGGACTTGGATGTTAACTTTGCCACTTATTAGATGTGTGACTTTGGGCAAGTGACTTAACCACTCTGTGCTTATTTCCTGATCTGAAAAATGGACACAATAATATTACCTTGTTCATAAAACCATCATGAGGTTGAATGAGATGATACCCTGTACGATGCCTATCGTTATTGTTACTGGATATTTGTAGATTCAACCTTGTGCCTGGTTCACAGAGACCAAGGAAGCCGTGTCTTAGAGAGAGGCCTGAGCGGTACTTGTCCCATTGGCTGTGACTCCAAACCTTTGGAACCCACCTTCCACATCACGGCTGGACCATGGTCAGCCCCACCTAATGGACAGAGCCTCCTTCATGGGTTCTGCAGACACTCTTTCCACGATTAGGCGGCTTTTCAGAGCACCAGGACACCAAGCCTGGCATGGCAGGAAGTGCCTCAAACGTCAACCAATCTAGACAGCTCCACAGCTAGGGAGCTGAAGGGAGCGACCCGGTGTATGCTTCCATGAGCTTGCGGTGAGTTCCACATTTGAAGGGAATCTGAGCGGCTGAGACCCGCTGGGGAGCGGCCTTGTCCACTGGCCAGTATTTTGGAGATGGCTGGAGGGGGGACCCAAGCCCCCAGGGGCCTGCAGGGATGGAAATGGGACACTTTTTCAGCGAGACCCACATCTCCGTTCTTGGCAAGGACCAGAGCACAGATGCTGCTGCTGGTTTAATTAGAGAGTTGGCAGGAGGGACTGGGGCCACCACGTGACTGCCAGCGCTGCCTTCCACAAGCTGTAATTACAGGCGAGATCGGCCTCAGAAGCGGGCTTGCTGCAGGCGGGGTTTCATTAGGGGCGGCCCAGAACTGGCACGTCCTCCGTGTGTGTGTTGAAAGGCCTGCCACTCACAAGTCCTACAGGAAAAATGACAGTCCCTTGGAAACACTTAGAGACGATGGAGGGTCTCACTGTTGCCTGGAATGCCTGTGGTCTAGTGGGCGGAGAGTGGCTCTGGCGTTTGAGAGGCCTGGGTTCAAATCCAGCTCTGGTGTGTGACCTCAGGAGACGCACCACCAATCGATAAATTTGGTCAGTGAACATTCATGTCTGTGGCCTGGGGTTGACATTAGAGTCAAATGAATTGGTGATTATCAAGTGGCTGACGCACGGGCAACTGTAAATATTACCTCTCTCTCCCCTCTGGTCGGTAAATTGTTAAAAAAAAAAATGTCCTTGTCCAGTTTGGGAGATGTGATGAAAAACACTTTGCTACAGAGTCTTTCTGCTTCATTCACTATCCATTCAACAAATTTTTATCAAGTGTCATGGAGGACGGAGAGGAGGCAGAGCTGAGCAGCGGGTGTGGCCTCACCCCGCTTTTACTTCAGGAGGGACCAGGAGAAGGGTCTTTCATTGTGGTTCACAGCTGCCAGAGATGGAGGTCTACAGGAGGAGGGGCAGAGCAGGCTGTCTGCCGGGCATCCGTAAGTTGGTGTCCCCAGCCCTGTGGGGCCCCAGTGAGGACCCCTCCAGCCACTGCCTCCTTCTCACTGGCTCCCTCTCTTGTCACACCAATCACATGGTTCAGCTGAAACCGCAGAGATCCCTAGGGCTCTCCCCACACCTGCACAGCCCCCTCCTTCTCAGGGAATTCGCCCATCCTGAGCGAGTTCCCTGAGACCCTCTTGGACCCAGAGACCCTCTTTCCAGCCAAGAGAAGGAAAGTTCCGCCAAGCAGGGTCTCTATCTGCCCGCCTCTGTGTTCCCAGCCCAGGGTGTGCACTCCGGGAGCATGTCCACCCACCCCGCCCCCACCGGCTACCCTCACCAAGGCCACTGACGGCCCCGGTGACCCACCCCAGCCCACTCTGAGCTGTTTACCACTCGGCTCAGTGAGCCTCCCATCTCCTTTTCCCTAAACAGCTCTGTCTCAGGCTCACTTCTAGCACTGCTTGTGCTGTCTTTTAACTCTTAACACACTTGTAAATGCTGAGGCCCCTCAGTGCCACCTCTACCCTCTTTCCCCCTTCTGTCCATGGATGCTGTGAGGCGCTACCATTTTCTCCCTTTGCTTCAACGACCACCTGTGAGTTCATGATCCCCAAATCTTGCTCCAGCCTGGCCCCCGGCTTGCATACCCAAAGGTCTCCCACCTTCTAGGGGCCTCTCAGGTCCCTCACACTCAACACGAGCACAGTCTAACTTCACCAGCTTCGCATGTTCTATCTCGCCTCCAGAGCTGTCTTCCCCTTCCATTTTCCTAGCCTCAGTGACGAAGACCAGTGCTCAGTCACCTGATTAAAAAAAAAGATGCTTCCTGTTTCCTTCCGCATCCCCATTTCCTGCAACGTTCTGTTGTACCCCAGGCCTGTTGACTGTCCTCCTGAGGCCACGCTAACCCACTCCTGCCCACTCCTTCTTCCCTACCCTGGCTCCTGTCTTCGTCATCTCTCCCCATGGTGGGGCAGAAACACGCACCCTGATTGTGGCCGGCGGGGCTTGGGGAGGAGTGCTTTGTACACAGAAGATCCTTAATTACTTTACACACTGGTCACTCTCCAGGTTACGCCAAATGGTTATGATGTCATAGGTCTGAGGAGAGACCCAGGGCAGGACCCCCAAAGGAAAACCAGGCA